GCATACTTAATGTACACGCGATATATATTACGTCATTACATGGTTAAAAGATGTCGTCTTGCGTATGTCAATGTGTGTCGTTATAGTTTCGTCTTTTGTTTCAATATTATTAAACCTGATTAAACCTATACGCGAAACGTAAAACGGAACCAAACATATTTCGACAAATACTTTAATTTTCATTAAACTATCCCCGAGATTTTGTCACTTGAAAGGATAATATCGTTGCATCAAATTCTCTTTTTATTGTACGCAGTGCCTGTGTTCGTCAAATTTCTATTAACATGTGTTGAGGGGTTAGCTCCGAATGTCTAGAATCTCTAAACTCCACAGTTCTTGGACTTCATATTGTCGTTTCAAAAAGGTATTTATATTTTACTTCCAAGTATTTTACGTATTACTCACGCAGAGACAAGGCATCAAATGTAATTCAAATTTAAACTTTACGATATGTCATTATTGCGGTTATTTCACATTGTTACTAAGAACTAGTGATTTCTTTCCGCATGAATTTCGTTTCGGTTGTTAACAGTTATATATGTATGTACGTGATTTTCATGATCGTTATTTTTTACATTCACATTACTTATTAACAATTAGAATTTTAAGTTGTTCTTTGTCGACGCACGTTATCTAGATTGTTCCTCGTAGACAGTCACACAACCGTACAGTAAATTGTTCTACAAAACTATAATCTTAATATTACAGCGAAGCTATTGTTTTCGTAAAATAAATAAAATATTCATATTTTGCATAGCTAGCTTACAAAAGCGATAATCCGTCGGATAATCTTCTCTACCACGTCACGTTGAATTTTCAATTTGAAAATGGTAACGCGAGTGTGCGGATAATGGAATTTGAATTGCTTGTGTTTAAATAAAAGGGGGAGATAAGAAAAGGAGTAGCATTGGTTCTGGGATTCTAGTGACATTGGTCGCGCGTAAGAGTCGACAGCAGGGATTTTGCATCGTGCGCGCGCATCCTCTGGCACGACGTGAGACAGAGGTAGTAGTAACAGCAGCGAGCAAGAGAACAGTGCAGGAACGAAATCAGATGTGGTGAAGTCCGTGAGTTGACAGGTCGTGGGGTGCACGAGAACAGGCGTTTCGAAGTGGCGGAGGCGGTGGAGGCTCAGGGGAAAGGATTGTTTTTTGTGTGCGCGAGAAACGTGTCGGCAGTAACAAGTCTCTCGGACGGGATCGTCGTTGGTGATGATGAAATGATCCTCTAGCCCGAGGATTTTCGCCTGGTCCGTACGGACAGAGAGGTAGACCGTTTGTATATCGTTGCTGTTCGAGGTATCGTGCGCTCGTTCATCCGTGGAAAACATCGGTGAACGCTGACGTCGCGGATTTAGACTCTTGTGTCGTTTTCCTTCGTGGTCGAGAGAGCATCGAAGATCTAACGTCTGACTGGCGAGCGTCGCGCGCGCGTGTCTTTGTTTTTTTCTCTGTTCGCCGTCTTAGTGCTGAATAACTGGTCAGTACGGGAAAACAAGAGTGTGTTGTACGGGAGCAGTGAAATACTTTCAGTTGTTCGTGAATATCACGGTGGTAAACAATCCGCAGCAGTCAGAGGCCCTTCCGAAAACGACAATCGAGCTCAGCTGATTGAAGGACTTGCTGCGAAGGGCTCTGCTGCGTTAATAGGCGATAAATATGTCGTCCCCCAGCGCTGGAAAACGACGTATGGACACGGACGTTCTCAAATTGTATCCTTGAAATTCACTTTTATTTCTCCTACTCGTTATTTGTGTCTCTTGTCTTCTTTTTTCTTCCTCTTCTTCTTCCTCCTCCTTCACCTCTTCCCCTACCCTCCACAACATCCCTCCCCTTGACATCACCACTGTTGTTCCCCTCCATCTAACCAGCCCTCCCACTACGCCTTGCTGGTTCTCGCTCTTTCTTTCTCTTTCACTCTATCGCACGTGCTTGCAATCGTGTGCAAGAGAGGCCTGCACATGGTTGCGAATGCAACAAGACTACGTAGTATGTGCGAGAGGGTTAGACGTTAGAATCGGTTGTTTATATTAGGCACGTTTCGTCTATAGGTCGACAAGGAAGAATACGGTGCAATGTCAACGGTGTTTCGCGACAACTACGGATATTTAATTTCTCGTTTCGTCGATGACGGGACACAGCTGCTTTTAACCAGCTGACTCTACATCCGTTCGTTTTCTGCGCAGCTTTATCTTGTTCACTGGCGCGCAGGTTCTCTACGTTACCTTCTGATTTGACTTTTTTCCCCGGTTTGGATCGTATTGTGTCCGTATCGTATTTCGTTTGCAGATTTGTCTTCGATTTTTACGGTTACGCGTAAATCAAAGTAAATATTTCGAATCGCGCCAGAAAGCATATCGAGGTTACGTTGTTCGGATTTGAAATGAAGTAAAGCGCGACAAACGGTAATTGCGACGTCATTGGCATCTATTATTTCGGTCAAACGTTTCAAGAATGACGCAAAGTGACAAAAGACGTTCATGATGCTTTTGTCACAGAAGACATTATTATTTTCCTAATCAATCGCGTACCAACGTAAGCGGTTAATTATTTCCATTGCCAGACAGACGTTGAACGAGTCGTGTTAGGTGCAAAGAACAAAGGTAAACTTTCATAAAAGCTAACGAAAAGGCGTGCGGTGGTATTTCTTTGTCAACTCCGATGGTTACATAAACAAATTTGTCTATCTTGAACAAGTTTCGAATGTATTTCATATTCAGCGTGTGATATTTAAAAGGCAGATTATAGGAGAGGTTAGTTGAGCGAAGGGGGGGGGGGGGGGGGGGAAAGGTTTCTCGAGTGGTAGACGTTGACTCCAGCGGCCGCGCCGTTCGAGATTGCGAGCGGGGCGTGATTGGAATGTTTCTGCTTACAAATAACGGATCAGGGAGGGGCAGGGCTGGCGAGAAGTGGGCCGAGAGCGGTGTCGCGGCGGGGACGAGAGAAGGACGCGAGATTTCGGGGGGAAATTGAAAGAGCTTCGAATAAGATAATATCGCGATCAGAATGGGAGAAAGCTGGCGCGCGAGGGATACGCTTGGAAAGTCAAAAAGCCGGCGGGCAAGGGATCGCGAGAGGTTGAAACATAATCTAGCTGCCAGGGATAAAGGAGGTGGCGGCAAACGGGGGAACTAGGGAAACTGTCGTGAGTGGCCGTCGAATGGGAAGCCGTAAACCGGCGGGAATGGTGGCCGATAAAACTCTTGCGAGCGAGCCGAAAACAATGGGGAAGGGGATGAACGGTAAATGATCGAACGGAACGCGGCTGATTGCTGACGAAACAAATCTGTGCCAGGGATCTGTGCGCTTGCCTACTATCGTGTACGATCGCCTATAGTTGCTCGATAAACTGCGGGGCGGCCGATAAATATGTTCCTCCCCGTTCAAGGGCTGCGATGACTCTTTGCCACGAGGAGCCATTTCGTATGGACAATTACGTAAGCTTAACCTTTTAGGTACGGCTGAATTCTGCGCGAAGCTATTTCTCTGGACGGCAGAGTCTGATATGTATTGTACAGAGTCTGATACTGTATATCAGGGGTGTCAAACTCGCAGCCCGAGATGAACATTTTTGCGGCCCAGTCAATATATCCGACGCAAAGTAAAAATAAAATAGAAATAGTCTCAGTCAATAAAATTTCTCCCGAAATAGGAAAGATAGTATCAGGGAAGAGATATCGAGTATCAGGACGTAAACAATAATTTAACTTTATATATGTTTATTACAGTGTACTAGTCAAAATAAAAATATTTGTTTCTATGAACATTGATTTCTTTTCGCGGCCCACCTAAACTTAAGCATTGTTTATTTGGCCCAAGTTAGCTTTTGAGTTTGACACCCCTGCTGTATATTCTGTCTGCATATACAGGGTGTCCCAAAGATGTCTCGCAATCCAAAAGTGGCGAGTTCCTCAGGTCATTGGAACTTTTTCCTTTACAAAAATGTTCTCCGTGGCANGGGTGGGGGGGGGGTGGGGGGGGGGGGGGGGGGGGGGGGGGAGAGCGAAAGTATTATGATGAGTGACTGTAAAACATCGCCGACGTAAACAACTGAAAAGGAACGATGTGTATATGTATCACATCACTGACCCGATTTGTAAGAAATTGATTTTTGCGTACCGTGACGTTGCGTTTCGCTTATCAATTTTGCACAGTGGCGCGAATATGTGTGCGTTAGGTTTTCTAGAGTGACGACGGTTTCCTACACGGAGCTCTTTCGTGACAACATCGACTAGTCTTTGTTGAAGCTCGCATTAAATTTTCAAGTGGTCCGATAGGCAAAGTGAATTGAGTGCAATCGTTTGCATCGATTTCTCCGACAGTGAGGCCCGGTTAAATTACACATTTTTCGGAAGGGTTGCTCTAATGGCGCAGCACGTGCGTCTACGTATACAACATTTGTGGTAATTTATTTTCGGGCTGCGGCCATGATCGCGTGACTGTTTCCAATAATATTACAATCCTCGATGGTCACGGTTCCGTTTTAAATTAATTCGATCGAATTTCGATCTTCCACATATTTTTCGACTGCTGTAAACGGCGGTATATTATTTAAAATTAATAAGCGGAGAGGTATTTAACTGTCCAAACGGTTAACATTTTCGAAATAGCTACAAGTACTCTAACATCTAACTGTGTTAACTTTCCCTCAGATATTGAAACTGTTCCAAAATAAATGATTAATGAATGTCTTATCTGAATTAGTTCATGTCCACTAGCACTGCGAGTGTTAAGAGATCAACTGGTTAAGAAAATCTCGTAGAAAAAAAGCAGATAAATCATCATAAACTCCGAAGTCGCTCATCTTTTCCGTATGAAGCTAATATTCCCCAAAGCGAAATTTTATTTATGAAAAACAAGTTTCTCGTTTCCTATTCAGGAAGTTTCAGTGTTCTGATTATACATATTTTGAGGCATCTAGTGCTTAGAATTAATAAACTGTGAATTTATAACACATGCGAGCAAAACAAGAAAAATAGAAATCATAATAAAATTTAATAATATCTCTCCTCTATTTTCATCTGATGAATTTCCATTTTAATTCCATGTTCTGCAAATTAATGCTATTAGAGTCGTAAACTTATATAAGCACCTGTAATATAATTAGCACACCTGATGAATAACTTGCTACTTTTTGAATATAATTTCGCATACTTCTAAGACAATTTCCAATTAAGAAACAAATATATTTTCACTAAAAGGCAAAATCTTTGCTACAATTGGTTAAAGCCAATATCGATCCTCAATTTTTGTTATGCAGCTTCGTCGCTTAATTGCTATTAAAATATGATTTTTTAAAAATAGTAACTTCATAGAAGAAAAAGCGAAGTGCAAGATTTATATCGAATTATTTGCGATTTGCGTTGTTACCATGAAGTGAAAGTTAGTTTCATGCGTTAGCATAATACACACAGGCAATTGCAGTAACTAATTTGACGAGAGCGGCCGTTTTTATCGTTTCTTTCATCGGTCAAGAATATTCTTATTTGATTCCGTGATGCACCGACGATCCGGTCGAAAGCTGTGTGTATTCGTTCCGAGTTATTTCGTAAACGTGAATGTGAGGGAAACTACCTCTGACTCTGTCTTTTGCCAGCTGTTCTTTGTTTTCCGCGCTAAATTCTCTTCGTCTTTACGCAGATACTCCATCAACAACGCCACTTTCTACACTTTTATTATCCATTGTTACATTCCTTTCTTTATTCACTCGGCGTTGCTTAAGCTGCTCTTTCAAATCCAATTTCCTTCGGGAAAATGTTCACCAATATCATAAATCTTTCATTTTTTCTATAGAGACTGAAATCATTTTGTTTATGTTAAAAGAATCTTGATTGACTCTTTTAACTTTTTATATTTAAAGTAAATTTCCTTAATGTTGGATTTAATATCACAAAACGACCGAAATTTTGTTGGTCATCAAATCAAAGATAATTTGTTACCATATGTGCATATTGGACAACTTATTATTAAAGCTACACCCGCAACAGTATATTCTATAATATTAACATTTTAAAGGGAATTTCGAAAATCGTGGTACACTATTCTATTATTTTTCTCTACTTTTTTTCTGGAGTTAATTGATTTGGCAAATGAGCGGCTCGATTATTTTAAAACAATAATATAAGCGAAGGTGAAGAATAACTATTGAAGAATGAAATAAGAGGATAATACGCACACCGAATGGTTTCTTCCAACGGTTTGTTCGATTGTGTTCGTCACTCCCATTATTTCTTACGACATAATATCGATTTGTATTCGTGCATACTCGAAGTCTTATTGAATGTGTGCAATTTCGTGGCGGACTTAGGTGCCCCATAACACTGCCCACAGGAATTAGATCGCATTAAAAGGACATTTCAAAGTGTTGCAAAACGTATCTATTAGAGCGTTCATCGTATTATCGTGACGGCTCACCTTGAACGCCCACATGACACGAATGACAAGGTTTACTTCCTCTTCTAGAATTGCAACCGCATATTTACATGCGTACACCTTCGGTCGTTCCAGTGTTATTTTTATTGACGGAGCTATTGTTGTTTGATAGATTGTACCATGATCTTGGAACATGTGCGCAGAGAAGTAGAACGAAACTACCATACCACTTCATTGCAGTCGTGTCATTAACGAATTAATTTGTTGTTAGCGTCCTCTGACCGTTGCTGTTCATTTTATGTTCATACATATGTATACGATAATTATTATTATACATTAA